CACACACACACACACACAATATATATATATATATATATATATATATACTGTAAATATTTTTGCTGCTCTGAATACAAGATGTAAAACTTCACCCGAGATATTTAATGGTCTTGGCCATGGTGGATGCTGGTCTGCTAGTGAAACAGTCCTTCTTGCGGTTGTTAGCTGCAGTGGACAGCGGACATGTCCCTGTCTGAGCAAGGACCGCCGCGGCCCTTGAGGTCACCAGGAAGCCGATCCCAAGCAGAGCCCGCGCACTCAACATCCAGGTGGATCCTAACTGCTGGGACAGACGAGACCTCAGTGATCTACCCTGAACTGAAGGAAGCTAGTCCCCACATCGATCCCATGACTTCACCAGCAGATAGAAGTGGAACTGTGGAGCCTATTAGACAAGAAACTGTCACACGAAGCGAGGCCTGCAGGCTGTGATCTGTCTGGATGTACATTTTTTCCCCCACTTATGAAAGACCTGCTGCTCGGTCTGCTGACGCCACTACCTCCTACACATCCTACATTGCCGGCTTCTATTTTTCTAGTGATCGTGGCCAAGTACAGCAGGACACCTAACACCCGACTGAACACTTATGATCTATCATTCTGTTGATTATTATTCTGTAGATTACTTTGTATTAATTTAGTGTCAGAAAATTAAAAAAATTAAATGCTGAGAAGATCATTCGGTCATTGGATTAGTCAATTTACTAATCAAAACTACCAAACATTTGCTGATTCCGGCTGCTCAGATGTGAGGATTGACTGCTTTGCTTTCTTTTATATTGTGATAAATTAAATTTCTTTAGATAGAAAAAAAACTAAAGAAGACGTCAACTTGAGCTCTGGTAAACTGTGATGGACATTTTAAAGATTTTTACAGACGAATTCTGTTACTTGATGAAAATAATAGTTAGTTGACAATCTATAAATTGCATAACTAGTAAGCCTACATTTGGAATTAAATTAAATCAAGAAAAGCACACATTTTCACATTTGAGAAGCTGGAGCAGCAATTATGTGGCATTTTTTACATAAGAAAAGGCAGATTATCGACATTTCTGTAAATCAACGAGGCTTTTTTACTACCAATATTTACATTATTAATACAGAGAGTGACGAATTAACAATTCAGTTGTTTAATTTCACCATTAAAAAAGAAAAACACTCAAAAAACATCCAAATCTGCCACAAATATGGTGAAATGTAGTGAACACAGAACTAGTTTCACTTTATAACATGGAGCTCTATTTGAATACTGCAACATAAACTTGATTACTTCTTGATAAGTTCATATCATATCAATACACGCCATGCTGACATTATGTTATGCGTGTATGTCTGTTGTACACTGTGTACGTGGTAACTTTAACAGCAAGCAACTAACGTTTGCTAACTAGCTAGCCCTTCATGGACATGACAGAAAGAGTCAAGCATGTTAATTATAGACGTTTGTTTAGTTACAGTTCATAAACGAAAGAAAGCATTAATAAATATGAAGTAGTTGGTCTACAGGCTGTTGAGTTGTTGTATGTTGCTAGCTAACGTTTAGCTCGAGCTTGATTTTGTTAGCGTTCATGACAAATTATCGATGACACTCACCAAATGCTAGCAAGCCGTTCTTTAAAATAACTTCACATGCACGTGTTGTCAACTTACAGATCAGTAGTATACAGATAAAAAGGCAGGGGGCCGTGCAACAACACTTGCAGCCCAACAGTGTCTCCCACTTCCGGGTTTTAAATAATGTAAACACTGCTCTAATTTCAAAATAAAAGTCCGATCAGGAAGAAAGCATGTACCAGGTAGGGTATTGAGTATTGTTAAGCATGGGCAGTAGTGGAAGCAAAATTTACATATTCATTTGAAGTAAAGATAGAAATTATACCTCTATGCACAGAGGTAAAAGTCCGGATTACTTGCTACTTGGGTGAAAGTGCATATGAGTTTTTTTTTGTTCTTTGTTTAAAATCAGTAGGCTACTCATCACACATAATGACCCCTTTCCGAGTGTTGTATATCGTATTTTTTGGATATTTTTCATTATTGGACGATTCAAACAAAAAATAAATCACAGTCAGACAGTCAGTCTATCACATAGAGTTAACCCCACAATTAAAACAGCCTGCCCAACCTAATATTTCTGTACTATAGTAAGACTATCACATCATTATCGTTGAACAAGACAAATTCTGAAAACATGTTTATTGATATCAGCAAAACAACACACAACATTCTGAAGGGAGTTAAAGTTAAGTTTACTTTAACTACAGAAGCTAATTCTATTTTCTAAAAATCTAAATAAGTCAACACAAATTAATTTACTGCAACCCTGCTGCATGTTCACAGAGTGTAAATCTGATTCAACTATGATATGACTAGCATAAGACAGTGATGGTTTTATCTGCCACTGTACTGTTTTCATCATCTTTCATATTCAAGGAAATATTTCATAAGCATGCCATATGTACATTATAAAAAAAGCAGTATAAAGATTTATTGCATAGAATAATTGAAAATGATTCCAAAGTACATCAACTAAACTTAATAACTACAACAACTAAATAAGTAATAACTGAAAACTAATAGAGTTGAAGTGTTTCATCGTGGATCCAGGTGGCTCACATAATTGGACAGTTCTCCATTCTGGCTCCAGTCTAAGAGGAAAGATCGACAAAGTTACTGTCATCTAAATCAAAATAAAGGCAGAGAAGTTGTCAATTAAAACACTTTCAAAGGAAGCAATATGTGTTGCAGTGCCCACCTTGCGAGGGGTGCTGGCGCTGAACACGTAGGAGTGCGGCAGTAGACCCTCGGAGATCCCTCCGCTGCGGAAGGAACGGGAGGCCGAGTTTACAGAGCAGCTGCCGCCGGATTTGTCTGAAGGAAGTCCGCAGGAGCCGCAGACCACTGTCCGGCTCCGCAGGTTGTACTCGCTGTCTCCACAGGTGCTGTGAGCCACCTGCTGAGACCGGGCGTTAATATCCGAGCGTTTCATGAGAACACATTCTGTAGGCATGTTTGATTGCTGGCCTCAAAAGATTGTTTTATTTTGAAAGGAGCACTGGGGGATATCTTCAGGGGATGCAGAATGCTTCACTGAACTCTAAAGCTGACACAATAAATTGATTAAACAATAAGTTGATGAACATAAAATTATATCAGCAACTATTTTGATAATAGAGGATAATAATATTCCCTGATTGTAACTTCTTCAATGTGAAGATTTGTGTTTGTGTTTTGCATTTATTGAAAGCACATTTATCGTTGTGTTTTGGACTACTATAAAACAAGCTCTTTTGGCTGTGAATGGGCATTTTTCCCAATTTTCTTACAATTTATAGACAAAACGATGACTTAGTTAATTCTGAAAATAATCTATATATTACCCGATAATAATGTATTTCCCAAAAAAATATTTTTATGCTTAAAATATGGTTTTTGTTCCACTCTATCTGACCATATAATGGGTAAAGAAATCAACATTTCATTACAGATTTTCAGGTTGTTTATATGTCTCTGCATCATGTCAGTGCACAAGGCCAATTTCCAATATTAAAATGACTGTACTTTACTATCCCAACCTGATCTATTGTTCTACCCCAAGATTGTTTAGAAGTGTTAAAATAGCTCATTTAATCTTTCCAGGATGCTGAAGATCACAGTTTAGTGTTCTCAATGTGTTGTTGGTCTAATTCAAAGTGCACCAGCTCCATTTATCATGAAAATTAAGCATCTGGTGAATTTGCATAGTATTTGTGATCAATACAATTGCTCTCACCATGTCGTCATCATCTTCTTCAAACTGCGTGCGGGTGACCTTCCTCATTGCCATTTCCTGGAGGAAAAAGCTCAGTGTATAATACAACTAGATAGAACTTAAGGTTCAAATAAAGTACCACAAGTCTGATGGGGAATTTATAATACCTCTCCGTTGGCGCTGATCAGGGTGGTCTGGAACAGGTCTCCGGTGCCCCAGGAGGGCTGAGTCTTCCACACCAGGTCAGAGGGAGGATTGTGGGTTCCGCCAGCACCAGAGGACCAGATCTGTCATCCGTGGTAAAGGTACAATATAGGGTGAGTTATCTGTCACTGTGTTCGTCGCTGTTCTTGACTTGTGATTGTGCTGAGTAAAGGTGCTGCTTACCGTGACCCTCTGGCCGGCCTTAAGAGTGAATTTTACCGGGAACTTGAAGATGATCGGAGCACCGGACCCCACCTGCCGCTTCACCTGCCAGTTCCCCAAATTCTGATCCTGGTGGGTTGCATAAAAAGTCAGCTTGTCACATCCTCCGAGTGCTATTCTCCAAGTCTAATTCGGCTTCCAATGGCAATGTCAGGAAAGTGCTCTAATTGACCAAACACACAGTGTGCAACTGTGACAGTAAAAATCTTTAGTTTCCATCACTTAAATCATCCCAGCATCTCACCTCATCTGATTTGTTGCCGAGTTTGACATATTTCCCGTCCAGGTCCACCTCGTCCACAGTGACCCGCCCGCTGGCTGAGGCCTGTTGGGCGATGCGAGTGCGAGCAACGGTTCCACCAGCGATGCTCGAGGCCTCGCTGTCGGTGTCGTTGGGGCGACACCTCTTGGCAGGAGAGCTCTGAGCGCTGTAGTGCACCGAGCGAGAGGTACCTCCTGAGGTAGAGGAGCGACTCCCTGTCATTTTGGCGGGTGGGGGGCTGGGGGAGAGACGCAGCCTACAAGGACAAACACAAAAGTGTGAGAGGCGGAGAAGATGTCTAACTCTGTAGCACAGAGGAAAGGCAAGACTCTTATTCTGTTGGATAAACTCATTGTGAGTGGCCAGCGTACCTTTGCTCCTCTCCCTCCAGCAGCTTCCTGTACGCACATATCTCCATATCCAGAGCCAGCTTGACGTCCAGGAGCTCCTGGTACTCATCCAGCTGCTGCTGCATTTGCTGTCTCATCTCGGCCATCTCTCTGTCTTTCTCCCCCAGCAGGCGGCGGGTGGTGTCCCGCTCTCGAGACAGGGCGTCCTCCAGGTCCCTTAGCTTCGCCTCGCGAGCCGCCAGCTGGATCGGACAGAAGGATAACACAGTTATTGTCAGATCAAAATTAACACAGCTTGCTTTTGGTTGCCAATGTGGAGGTGCCTTAAACTTGCATTCCTTCTAATGGCCAGCAGGGGGCGACTCCTCTAGTTGTATAGAAGTCGATGAGAAAATGACGCGTTAACGGTGTTGTCCGGTCTGGGAGTTGTCTGTGTTTTCGTCTTACGACTTTAACTTTTTCACACTGTGTTCTGAGTGTGTTCTGAGTTCATGAAAGTAAATTGTAACATTGTGGTCACTTAAAAATGTGTTATTCAGCTTTTAGTTGTCCTTCGCTCCACCCTCTTGACTCACTTCTGGTTGCAAAAAAACAAGATGGCGACCGCCAAAATGCAGAACAATGGGTGACGTCACAATGTCTACACTCACTTCTTATATACAGTCTGTGGCTATAAATCTGCACATGGTCATCATGATGCAATGCATTGTGCCTACGAGCATCTTGCATGAGTCTCAATAAGAACTCTGAATGCGATCTGTGCGAGCTGCTCGTTTCAGGTCACCTGTTTCTGCAGCTGGCTGATCTGACTGGACATGGACTCCAGGCGGATCCGGGTCTGCTGGAGCTCCTCGTGTGCTGCCCCAACCAGGTGGCTGCTCCGGTCCGCTGACTGACGAGCATTTTCCAGCTGACAGAGAGAAACAACGAGGTAGAGCATGACTAAAATCCAAATTGCCAAACAACTCTGAAGTCTGGATCTCATTTCGCTTCATTGGGACCAGTTTGTGGCTTCTCCAAAACAAAAACTGTCCTGCCAAAACAATGCATTTTTTGTTTTTTATAATGTTTTGACATGTTACAGATATTTTATCTTCCATTGAAGACCACAAAATCGAGTTCAGTTGTTTTTTAAAAACCTTTCAACTGTAGTAAAACTGATGGTCTACCTTGGAATTGTAGGTCTTCTCGATCTCATCTTTGTACATTTTGATCTGCAGTTCGTGCTGGCTGCGCATCTCCATCAGCGCCTCGGACAACTTGCTTTCAAAATCATGCAGGTGGCCATTGTCCACCTCAACCATGCGAGACTCATGGCGCCGCTTTGTCTCCCGCAGTTCCTTTTGGACAATCACAAAAGCAATTTCACTCCCGACTACAAATACATGTTAGGTCGATGCTGATGTGATCAAAATGAAAGGAAAAAAAAGAAGCAGAGAAAGTTCCTTTTTAACATGATTTATACGTAATAAGAGCTGTTCTCGGGGATTCTGACCTCAGAGTGAAGGTTCCTCGAAAACTCCAGCTCCTCCTTGAGGGTCTGGATGCGATTCTCTCCATCCACCCTCCTCAGCATCTCATCCTGCAACTGCTTCTTGGCATCGGCCAAACTGGTGTCCAGCTGAGAGAAGCACAACAGGAGCAGAATATCAGTGCGAAGCATCGTACAAACATTCACAGTGCAGAAATGTGCAGTAAATACAGTTAAGAGGCCAAGAGAAATGAGAGAGTCAACATGTCCGAGCTCCATGAAGCTATGACAGAAAGACTGAAGTCAGCAAAGAAAACCTTAATTTGCTGCACACACCAATACTGAATATTATATATTATTTTTACTCAAGAAAAGTCCTGGCTTGCTTTCAAAACTCCACTGTAAAAACTCCAAAATAAAGAAAAGCTAGTGGTAAACGCAAACATGTTGCAAAATGGGTCTCTGATAAGCTATCGCTGATCACCACAAAGTGGAAAAAAAACAGAGGAGCATGAGGGACAAACAAAGAGCTGGTGAGCTCGTAGGCTAACTAATTGCAGAAAGATTGACCCCAGATGTGTTTCCGCGGAGCCACGAGTTGAGTGTGGGTTTGAGTTTACCTTGGCAACCTGCGCCTTCAGGTCCCTGTTTTCCACCTCGAGGCCTCGTTTCTCTCCCAGAGCCGTTGTCAAAGACGCGTCCTTGGAGTTCAGCAGAGCCTCCAAGTCTTTGAGCCTCTGCAACGCTGCGACCAAATCGGACTCCTTTTTGGTGTTCCTGCAAAGACAAAACGAGTCTCAGGTGTTAAGTTCCATCTTACTGGATGTGTTTATAAGTATTGATACAGGACGTCCCACTTAACAGACGTCCATTTTGCTTTGTAACTCAAGGGGCCAAGTGGAAACTGAATTACTGCAGTTTCCTTCACGCAGTCAAATTAAACAAATGTGAGCTATTTTTGAATTAGGATGTAGCCCGGATAGGAACGGGAAAGACCTCGGTGCGTATGACTCACAGGCCACAATGATCCTCGTCCAGTCCCACGTACGCACCAGCCACAAACCACAGCCGTTGGTGTTTAGCTGAGACGATGCCATGGCAACGGCTCGGCTTTGCCAAACACACATCGGCCCCGTCGTCGCAATATTTATGGAAAAATAATGGAGGCAAGAGTGGAGCTCTGTAAACACTGCCACGTATTGTGTGCATAATGATTACTGTGGCGAAGGAGGGGAAACTGGGGAAAGAGTTAGTCATCGGTGTCTGGATGTGGCAGCATGGGAAGGAGCCCGACGTCAAACTGCAGTGAGCAATGAGGAGGGTATGCTGAAGCCAGGGAGTGGCCCCGAGGCCTCGCAGGGTGTCGGCAAATAAAAGCATCGGCTATTCAAAGCTAATGAGTAATTGTGTTCTGCTGCTGTGGGCCGCATGCTGACATGTTGGACAATCACAAACACTCTCACTCGCGCTTTAATGGGCAAATGGGTGCCTTTACCTTAGGAAGATTTGGTTGAAAATGGGGCTTTCAGAAGCCCCGAGGCAGGAAAACATCTGGTTCTGTCGTGTCTTTTCATTTTATTAAAGGGCAAACCAGGCTCATTTGTTTTATTTTGGACCAAAAACCCAATAACCTGTGAAGGGAAGCAACTAGTTAGACAGCGCTTGCTCTGTCTGCTCTAGATACTTGATGTCTGCAATTATACTGTAAGTCCGAGAAAGTTTGGTAATTTAGACTTTAAAGCTAGACTTTGTTGCCTCTCTGGCCGCAAGTGCTAATTATGGGATAATAGTAAATGCTCAAAAAGTAGTGTCGAAAATAGGCACCAGGACAGCAGTTACACCGCAATGTTTGCATAAAGTTTGCTAACATTTGCCACCGTTAGCTATCAGTCACAGCAGACCACGTGCTGCTGCAACAGCAAAACTATTAAGTGAGCGTATCGAATTAAAGGTGCCTTTTGTTGCTTGTGAACTCATCTTTTTTCATAAGTAAAAACGAATATTAAAAGTTTTAAAAGCTTCTTTAGTCTACTTTAATTGTAAAGACACACATGGGCGCTTCTAAGGGATTCAGGGGCTTTAAGGTGCTGAGACCACCCCTTAAAACATTCTCCACCCCCTCAACCTAATCCATGTAATTGACAGTCTGGAGACATTGCTCCTTCATTTGGATTGCGATGTGCTGCGACCCACCTTGCCTTCAGCTCCTTGTAGTCCTCCCGCATCTTGCCCAGCTCCAGCTGCAGGCGCGCTCGCTCTTTGGCCACAGAGTCCAGAGTCTTGCGGGCGTCGGCCAGCTCGGCCTCGTAGGCGGCCTTCAGGCCCGACAGCTCCCGGCTAATCTCGGTCTCCGACTCGGTGATGCGCACACGCAGGCCGGCGTTCTCGGTCTCCAGAAAGCGCACCTTGTCGATGTAGGCGGCCAGCCGGTCATTGAGGTTGCACAGGTCGTCCTTCTCCTGAAGCCGGGTGATGCGGTTGGGGGACAGCGGTGAGTTGGCACCTCGGGGGGTGTTTTTGGGTGTTGCCATTTTACTTCTATCTTTCCTGAAACAGAAGACAGCATTACCAACTCAATTATTCTGAAAGTTGGTTCTTTTCATGCTCAATAAATGCACAGGATGTATTTATTCTGATGTACAAATGCATCTATTGGCATTGGACTGTACAATGTGCAGGTTATCATTAATACATAGGAGGATGGAGGAAGTTGGCCACACAGTTCTGTCTACAAATCTTCATTCAACATCCACCACTGTTGTTATTCAAATAAATGAAACACATGCCGAATCCATCCAAGGAGATTTTTACATTTAAGGGAAAGTGAGTATGAAAAAGCCATAACTGCAAGTTTAGAATTGAAAAAAAAAAACTGAAATCTCTTTGAAGTGTACACATGTTTCCAGAAACTCTTTTGAGTGCAGAGACATAAAACGTGGAAAAGACAAAGAGCATAATTGATCACAAGGCATGGGAGGGGTTGTCGACTCCACCCTGAAATTAAAGTAAAGTCTCTGCACAAATACTGCCAAAGTTGACAGGACGGTTTACCTTTTTAGTGCCGGTCAGAAGAAGATGAATCTCTGCTCCGAATACTTTCGTAGACTTCTCTGTTAATCGCCTTTTCGTTACTTTGTGATCAGAGTTCCCCCTCTTAGTTCTCCAGCACGGTTCGGTCTGTTACTGCACTGTCTGCAAATACATCTGAGGTTGCCCATATAGGAAAGAATGAGATGGGAGGAGAGAGGTTGGCCTCAAGTTTGGCACTTGGTAGGTGGTTGTTCCTCCCCCTCTCTCGCTCTCTCTCTATGTCTCTCTCCCACTGGAATGGGTGTGCAATCTGAATGAATGAGTCACCGACTCCTCAAAGAAATGCACAATGCCATGTGATACATGGGATCATTTTAAAGGTTGAGTTCTATTCATTTGCTGTGTTTGGCTCAAACCAGGCTTCCTTTCTGTAAAGTTTGAATGACAAAGATACAGAGCAGGTTTAAACTAAGCCTGAAGCCTGGTTTGATGCACAATGATTTGATCAAACTTCCTTATTCTTCAATTAAAACGTCTAAAAGATCAGTTTTCAGGACTGTGTTTGTTATATACACTGAGGGAAGGCTGCCCTGCATGCCAGTAAACTTGGATGCAACTGGAGCTGTGTTTATTTATTTTTTCACCCCTGCCCCTCAGACATCCTGAGTCAGCTTGATACTGTAAAACATCCAGAGGTTCTCAGCTGGCTGAAAGAAGTTAGACATGTCCCAATACAGCAAACTAACTAACATGGAGGTCATTTCTATCTCATCTGGTAGAGCATTTGTCCCGTCCTGGGTTCAATTATGTCCCATAGTCCTTTGCTGCGTAACTACCCCCCCCCTCTCCAGCTTCTCTAATAAAGGCAATTAAGGCAATAAGGCCCTAAAAAATTGTCTTTAAAAAGAACAAACAAATGTGCTCTAGCATACCCATTCAACCCATTTCAAGCCAAGTGACTCACTAAGCCAACCCTTACAAACAAAAAACTCAAGCTAAAGTTTGGATGAAAGAAGTGACAGGAATGTGCAACTGTAATAAGCTGAAGTCCTGTAGTTCACTCAATGTGAACTTCATTCTGCGGCTTCAATGAAAAGGGAGGAGGAACAAGCTGATACAGAATATACTGAGTATGACAATGGGAGTGTTTGTTTTCCAGCCTTAGAAGGGGTTAAATTATGAATTCATTTTTAAGAATGTACTGTAATTATTACACATCTCCATCAGATGATCCAGCGGACCATGGTTGTCTTTTGAAAATGTTTATTTACATGGACTTTATTATTTCCTTATCTTTTTCTTCTTAACATTCAATATTAGAGGCAGTTTCTATTAACAATTATCATGTTAAATATGTCAATGAACGTGTCGAGGCCCTGCTGCTGTGAATGTGGAGGTTAAGGGTCAAGGCCTCAGTGCGGGAGACAGGGATTTATCCTTCATGTTGCATTTGCAGGATTTTTTCAGAACAGAAGAGATGACAGCACTCAGTATTTCCCATTTCAACAGAATTGTTCCAACTGATCAAACTGAACGTTTTTCTTTCTTTCTTATCCTTGCAATCATCTTGTGACCTCCTCCAATTTACACTGCCTTTAAAAAAAATGCTCACCGTTCTTGAACGTTTTCTCTTCTTGTTTTACACGACTGACAAGATTTAATGCTTATTTTACAACAGAAAAAGATCATTTAATGTCAAAGTGATTTACGCAGTTGTGTAATGTGTAATCATGTCCGTTTGGTAACATTTGTGGTATCAAACACACTATGTTGTTTTCTACTCTACTTTATAAGGTTACAATGTTTTTATTTTGTAATATATATATTTTTTTATAAATATATATATTTATACATACATACTGTACATTATCTATATATATATATATATATATATATATATATATATATATATATATA